AGTTGCTCTTTCATGGATCTTTCATTACCAGTCCCTGTTTTGAGATGCCAAACTGGACAGTTAAAATTTTTTTCCATGTAAGATCATTCTTCAATATGTCCAATACATTTCACTTTTGTATTTAAATGTGTAAAATAAATTACTTAAAGTTCTCTTACATACCAAATGCAGTTGTAAGGCTTCAGTCTTCATCTTACTGGCCATAAGCTTTGTGGCTGGCTAACTATGCATAAGATTGCATTCTCGGGACTTGACACCATACTCTACCCCAAATGTGCGGTGTGTTGTCTAGTCAATGTCCGAGTATAGCCTAGAATAATATAGCATTTTTGTATGTTTAAGGACCTGTATATGGCTTGATAGGTTATTTATCAAGAAAATGTTAACACTCAGTATTAGACACTCATAGCCAGAGAACATAGCAGCCAACCTTTAACGAGTGTGTTGTGTGTACATATACATACATACATACACACATACATATATTCCTTTTGTGAAGAACTGTATGGATTGGTTGATTGATTAGGTGTCATCAAGTCAGTGTCAACTCTTAGCAAATGCCTAGATAAATTTTCCCCAGGATGATCTATCCCCAACTGGTCTTTCTGGTCTTCCAATGGTGGACATTGCCGTGTAATTGTGTCCATCCACTTGCTGCTGGTCATCCTCTTGTTCTGTTTCCTGTGTAGCAGAATCAAAAGTAGTGCTATGGGCCAAACTCACAAATAGGCAAAAAGAAAAAGTTGCAGAAATTAGCAGCCTTGCGGTCCTTTTTTTTTTTTTTTTTTAAGGACAAGGATTATTAGTGAATTTCAAGGAAAACCTAAACAGGTCATTTTAGGTTATTGTCACTAAAACAGGTTATTGTCACTAAACAGGTATACGTTTTACTAAAAGTATCAGGCGGATAATATCACATATTAGGCACAGATATGCTTGTCATGGTACGGTACTGTGAGCGTCCCTGCAAAGATCTTTCAGGTGACAAGCTTGGAATTGCCACAAGATGATGTATGAAATATCAGTTGTAGCAAGAAACAAAGGATTTTGTAAGCTTAAATACAAACATAGTAGTTTAAGGTTTGTGACTGCGAACTTCTGTACCAACCCCTGTCCTGCTTTTCTTAACATTTCAGCAATTACTGATCTGGGATTTCCTCCTGTAATTTCCACAAATAAATTAAGTAGTAGTCTCTTGGCTAAAGCCATGGATAATAGAATTTCCACGGGTACATTAGAGCTGTTATTGAACAAATTAATGTTTCCATCCTCTTTTCCAAATGCAGTGAAGCAGTGTTTCTCAGCGTCAGCAGCTTTAAGATCGTGGACTTCAACTCCCAGAATTCCCGCAAAGTCCACACATCTTAAAAGTTGCTGAGATTGAAAAACACTGCAGTATGAAGCAGTCACCTTGGGGAACTGGGCTGCTCATATAATATCATCAACGTAGACTTTGTCATGACATTTTGAGTGATATCCCTTTTGATGTTTACATTTTCCCTTTCGCTGTGCCTGCCTACCTTTTCTGCATTCCTGTACTTAAGTCTAGTGCTCTGAAATACATACTATGCCTGGTCAAAAACTTAATCCATTTCAGCTGCATTTTTCTTTGCGGGTCTGCGGTGCAGATACAGTGGTACCTCGGGTTACAAACTTAATTCGTTCCGCGACTGGTCGCGACCCGAATTGGTCGCGATATGAATCAAATTTTCCCATAAGGTTCAATGTAAATACGGTTAATCCGTTCTGACTCTACGAATTTGGTCGCCAACCGATTTTGGTTGCGACCCGAATCAAATTTTCCCATAAGGTTCAATGTAAATACGGTTAATCCGTTCTGACTCTACGAATTTGGTCGCCAACCGATTTTGGTTGCGACCCGAATCAAATTTTCCCATAAGGTTCAATGTAAATACGGTTAATCCGTTCTGACTCTACGAATTTGGTCGCCAACCGATTTTGGTTGCGACCCGAATCAAATTTTCCCATAAGGTTCGATGTAATTACGGTTAATCCGTATGAACCATATGTATTTTTTTTTTTAAACCACAAAAATATGACACAAAGTACAGTACGAAGA